GGCAAATAGAGATAGTATCTTGATGGCCTACAATGGCTATTTAGTATCCTGGGATCATCATTAAAACTATTTGTACTTCACGATTAATCTACTGATAAAAACTTTATCATTTCAAGTTGGATATTACCTATATTTAAAATTCCATGTTGTAATTATAACAGAAGACTAAACCTAAGCTTTTTTTCCTATTTCTTCTTCCACCTCCCACAGCAAATTATATATTAAACATAAGTGATATGAGTTCATCAACCCTTTAAAAACTGTGAGTATGCTTTACAGACAGCCTCTATTTTCAGATTCTACCTGTCTATCAGGAATGGAAAGATTATACTTCAGCAAGTCATTTCAGAGATAGTCAAAGGACTGTTCTTTAAAATCAGAAAGAGGGAGACCACCTACATCAATTATTAAAATTTAGAGATAGCAATTAATCTCCCAATCTCTAGTTATGTGTGTACTATGATATCCCATTGCAAGCTACAGATTTTACATAAAATAAAGAGATAATATAAGCCAAAAGTACAAATTCCTAATAGCAAGACTGTAACAGCCACACACTTGTGCTGCACCTGCTGGGTACAGGCAGTACCAAGAAAACTGGCTCAGTCCCATCATGTAAAAAGGTTGAAAAGTATTATTTATTACAGATATTGCAGCAACAGTATGACATAGAAATGCTCCAGAAAACTGTAAACCTTAAGGACTGAATGGACAAATCCTACACCTATTTGCACTCCACAAAATTTTTATTACCCTATATTAAATGATAAAGTAAGTGTTGCAGGTGCAACAACAAAGAAGCAAAATGGAAGGTATAATTATAAAAAATGCAAGTGTCATGGGAAAAATAGTGCATTTAAAAAGTAAAGCCAAAAGGAAATATAGTAAGTCAATGACACAAAGTTTGTGATGATAAATTCTATTACATTACTAAGCTCAAGCCTATCTAAATTATAAGGGAAGGGGAATGGACTCCTATCCATCACTCTTCCTGACTCACTTATAAGTGGGAACGTATGTTTTGGTCTTTTATTCTCTTACGGCCAGTAGTAAAGGTCAGCAGTGGCATCAATCTTATGGAAAAAGGGAGAACTGGAGAAGGGGGCATGCAACGGTTTGCAACTGCAGTTATAGGTGTACGTCAAATAGATAAAAGACCAATACAAAGCTTAGGCTTGTATCACTTGTGTTCTCCCTCTAAAATAATAACAACATCAGTAAAGCAGGCAGATAATAAGAAAAAAAATCTTGTAAACAGAAGAAAATGTGTAAACAGTTTAATTAGATAAATACTTGTCTATCTAATGTCACTTAACTGTTAAAATAAGTATTAAAACTTGTACCTTTACAAGGTACTACAGAGGAAAAGCAAGCATGTTTTATATGACGTTTATGGTGTTATTCATCACTTTTGAGACGAAATTCCCACTTGAAGTGTACTGCAGAAAAGTAAAATTGATTTCCTCCTTCTGGTAAATAAAAGTAAAGCTATATTCTGCCAGCTCCAGGGGCGTCAGCAGAACAGTTTTACCACTGTAGCTGTATGTCTGTCAGTGTTCTGTTATAAACAAAGCTGACAAAGTTCATGAGGGGCTAACTCAGAAGCTCTCCCTCTAAAAGTACAGAAAGATTGAGTTCTTTCCAGTGATAGGCAGACAGGAAGGAAAAAAAAAGTTATTTGAAATGTCCCTAATTTTATTGCCTCTCTGGTTCTTTCTTCCTTGGGAAGTTTGCACTGCATGGATTTTTAATGTGAACAAAGGCCCAAGGAAGTTCTACTGAAAAAATAAACAAGACATTTACAACAATAATATTGACAGATGTATATCTTCCTGGAACAAAGAACTAAAGACAAACCCAGTTCCAACACAGAGGTTTCTGTGGTGTCCATGGCAATTCAGTATGATGCAACACGTGACAGTTCTGAAGGAACTGTTTTCTTCCACTGTGTAAGACATTTTAGAGACTGTCCTCTTCTTGAGAATCGTAAAACTAGTACTTTCATGAACATAGGATTTTTCAAAAAACAATTCAACAGAAGCCGAAATTGTTATACAAAGGAGTCATGATCTCATCTGAATAGAGGCAAAGTGAGTCATTAAGAGGAAGACATAATACAAGCCAGATTTCCTGTCCAGCTTCCTCTGACCTCTGTTGGCAGAACTATTTTCCTCTTGTGGTAAAAAGTGTGCCTAGAAATTGTTCTTCCCGCTATGCAAGCTCTGTCAGGAGAATACAACCGACATGCTCATGCAGCAGAAAGGATCACATCGTCAGGTATGCTCATTGACACACATTCTCAAACTGCAATGGCTTATGGAGAGTCCTCCAACCCGGTTTAAAAAACTCACTCCAACAGCAACCCAGCATTAAGCATTGCTTAAACCTTGCTTAATCACCTCACTAACCTTCAATATAAAATATTGTCTTGTCATGATTAAAATACTACAGAAAATTGAATGATCTTAGCTACTATATCCACACAACAGGGTGTGCTGTGAATTTGTCTTCCACCCTAACACTAAATTTCCGGACTTCCACCCAGTTTAATAAGCTCCTTCCTGTTATTCTAATATAAGATCTTGTGAGAAACCCCATACCCGAACGGTTATTTTCTATTGAGAATCATCTTAGGCAGCCATATATCAAACCAAACTTTTGTTCTTGTTCTCTGATACTCTCCTATTGGGTACTTACATGACTACTGACAGGTTTGAGATTACTGTGTTGGAACCTATTTTCGTGTGACAGCCGCAGTGCAGATACTTGCCGATATACTGGTGCTGAATGCTAATCACTACTACAGTCTGGGAACAATTGCCAGCTACGTCACTTATCACTAGAATGAACAGAAAGGCCTTAATTGCCTTATCATGTGCTTTGCGCTTCCTGCTGGAATGGCTAGAAATCACTAGGAAATACTAGGAGGGATAAAATAGTCATAG